TGCATGCAGACGTGTCGGGCATGCCCGAAATATATGTTTGGCTAAGTGAACATGAATGATGTGAGCAGCGCAGCATGCATGCGACATCTGAGCTTTGTGTACTATACGTGGTTGGAGGGTGGGAGGGACCGCCGCTCGTTTGCAAAAGTATCACTTTTTTTATGTACGTCTTTGTTTCCGCCACAGAGGATTAAGCTCGTCTATGAGAAACACTTGATTCTGGAACACAAAAAAAAAAGATCACTTCGGTCTTTGATGCGGTGGACTGTTTAGGCTCTCACACGACTCAGAAGATCATTATCGTCATCGCTTCTGAAGAGTAGAGGAAGAAATCAGACACCCAGAAGTTCAATCAGGCTGTGAGGCATTTCCTGCACTAAGACTTTTGTGGGCCTTGGAAAGTTTCTACACCATCCTACAGCGAGTCAGTCGAGCATCGCCCTATTTTTCAGGTTGCAGGGTCATTCAGCCAATGCCAGGGAAATCGTTGTCGTTGTAATGACAAAAAGTGTAGGGTGAAGCATTTGCAATGTGCACTCTCTCTCTCTCTCTCTCTCTCTCTCTCTCTCTCTCTCTCTCTCTCTCTCTCTCTCTCTCTCTCTCTCTCTCAATGTGGTCTCTCTCTCTCTCTCTCTCTCTCTCTCTCTCTCTCTCTCTCTCTCTCTCTCTCTCTCTCTCTCTCTCTCTCACACAATGTGGATTCTCTTTCTCTCTCTCTCTCTCTCTCTCTCTCACAATGTGGATTTGGATTCTCTCTCTCTCGCGCGAGTGCGCACGCACGTGCTTGCTCGCTTTGCTTGCTCCAAGCTGCTCTACATCAGACCGAGCAGGATCATGTGACAGGATATTGTTGGGAAGCATTGAAGTGTTAAGAAGAAGAGAGACAAGAGAGACTGCGGTGAAGGGGGGGGGGGAGGGGGGGGGGAGGGGGGGGGGGAGAAGTGGGGCGGCGGCCCAGAAAAGAAAGGCGACACTCTTGAGAAGAAACGGAAAACAATGACGAAGTACGGTAGCAGCACAGTTCTAGTTCGGTGTCTTCCCAGTCTGAGCAAAAAAAAACGGAAACAAACTCTGAAGCAGCAAGTGTTGCGCGTTCTACACATTAGGCCTTCCAAGAAGAAGTGCAGTTCTGATGATGTAATTTATACCAACTACAATGAGCAAACAGAATGGCGATGTTATGCGCTTGCCCGAACCCCTGAGGGGTAGATTTTCCCTGACCCTAACGTGGCCATGATAAGGGTGTGGCTAAAGTTTTTTTTTTCACAAAACAAACCATTTTTTTTAATTTTTTTTTCATCTGTAATGCAAAAGAAACACAACACAAAAGAGTGTGTGCACAGCAGTTGCAAAGTTGCAAACTTCTGAAATCTCTTTCAAGTTTTAAGCTGTCAGGTTCTGAAACCATTCAGTGACCTCTCTCTACCATTTAAATGATTGCTGTCAGCCCTCATTTAGTGAACTATCCACCGTAATGATGATCCCTCATTTAGTGAACTATCCACCATATAAGAATAAAAAAATGATGATCCCTCATTTACTGAACTACCGACCATATAAAAAAAAAAAAAAATGATGATCGATTGTCGACGAAGGCGTAGTAATAATTCAATAAACAAATCTCTAGCGAGGGCTGTCTGTAAATGAATGGGAGAATTTTGACTTGAAAAATAAACTGTCAGTGTTTTGAACTTTTGTTCCTTTTGTTGACATGAGACTCTGCTTGCACAGTTTGTTTGCAATTTGGTGCGCAGCTGCTGACGCAGCGTGTAATCATATATCATTTATGCATGATTCTCCAATCATTGGCGTGTACTTGCACTTTTTGGTTTTTTTGTGGAAACCAACTTCGCATTTCATTATGAAAGGAAAGTGAGGCCGGGAAGTCCTCAAACAACACAACCCGGCAAATGCTCTGACCATTATACGCAGCTTTAGGTGGCAGGTGCTGGAGGCAAAAGTTTTAGGCAGAAAGGGGCCACATCTTAGACCGCTGCACTGATAAACCCGCCAACCCTGGGAACAAAATTATCCGGACCGCAAGGCCTTGAAAGACACGGAATCCGAAAGGAGGGAGTTCCTTATTTCAGTAAGGCAGGGGCCGTGTAGTGGCGGTTGAATATGTCAGCAGCATGATCCACGGTGACTATTCCACAGTTGGCCGTGGGTATAAAGGTGGTCGCCTTATAAAAAACATCCCTGTTCTCGCAGTGCACTGAACAGTTTCCTGATGGGTGCATGCAGCACCAATCTTTTCCTTCGTTTGTACCTCTTCTGCTTTTACCACGCGATACTGAGACTGCCCTAGTTTCTCCGCACAGATGGTTGTTTTTTTTTTTTTTTTTTTTTTTTTTTTTTTTTCGTGTGTGTGTGTGTGCGTGTGTGTGTGTGAAACATTTTTTGGGGGTGTCACCGAGGCTGATATGAGCATCCCTCTGTGGCACCTGCTCGGCTGATGGATTCGTTCTATTGGTGGGTAGCTGCACCTGCTGGAATCCGGGTCCAGCGTTCCTTATTCATAATAGAGTATACCTATTCAGGAAAATTTTGAGAGGTTTGACATCCTAACCTAAGATCATGACACCTTGCGATTTCTTGGCGGAATGGTTAGCTCTGGACCACACCTGGTAGACCGACTGCTCTCTCCCAACGGCCGCCCATTTGCCGACTCCAAGAAACAGGAATGTTTCCTCTGTTTGTCAGTTGTAGCCAATCAAAAATTATCTTTGATTTGTTTTGTCTGGAAGGAAATTCGATCATGACAAGGATCAGCAGAAGGCAAAAGTTGGAGGGAGAGTCTGTGCAGAAGAGATTATGGACGTGGGGATGGATGCTCCAGGGGCAACAACAGAGAATGCAGAGAATGTATTATGCTGTTATCCACAACACTGCTAAAAGCAAAAGCGGTCCCCAGCACAATCGGGCCCAAGGGGTGGTGTGGGACCCAGACCGGTCGTGAGGGCAGCCTTGGGGTACCATGCAATCTGATAGGACGGGGAGCAGCAGCGCCTGGTGCTTCTTTTCACTAGCATGTGTGTGTGTGTGTGTGTGTGTGTGTGTGTGTGTGTGTGTGTGTGAGAGAGAGAGAGAGAGAGAGAGAGAGAGAGAGAGAGTCAGATTGTATGTAAGAGTGGAATTGTGTGTG